CTTTGTTTCGCTGAACTAGTGCGGCCAGCACTTTGTTTCACTGAGCCTGGGCGGCCGCCGTTATGTTTCGCTGAACCAGAGCGGCCGGCACTTTGTTTCACTGAGCCTGGGCGGCCGCCGTTATGTTTCGCTGAACCAGAGCGGCCGGCACTTTGTTTCACTGAGCCTGAGTGGCCGCCGTTATGTTTCGCTGAGCTGGGCGGCCTCTGCTTTGTTTTGCTGAGCCATAAATTAAAAAAAACTATTAATATTAATAAATTTTCCCAGCTCTAATTTATGTATTTACTAGGGCTGTCAAAATTAACGGGTTAACGCGGATTAATCCATTATCATGATTAATCTGATAAAATTTTTTTACTCAATTAACCCATCTGCAGCGCCGAATGACTCAAAATCCATGAAATGTCTTTGTCAACCCATTTCGGGCAGATTTGGTGCGTTCCATTTGCCCTGGGAGGCTGGGAACTTGTATTCCGAGTGGGATTCCGAGTTTTGAAGCCGGAAGTGACGACATGCGTGCTCCTGTTTCTTGGAGACACGAGAAATGTCTCGGAGCAGCACAGAGGATCCATGCTGGCTGCGCCTTTTATCAACAGAAGGGAAAGTTGTAGTTTTATACTGTTTAAGCACTACTTCTCATTTGTGGCTCATTAAATCGGTCGCACACACTATGCCGTCCAACTTAAATGTGGACGTATTGCTACGGAGTTTTATACGAAAAGCACCGCGCGTAATGTGTTATCAACTGATATTGCTAACAATGGCAATTAACTGGGCTAGAATCAGATTTCATGATTAGTCGGATTATTTGTCGGATTTACAGTAGTTCGGGCTAATTGTAAGTGAATGAAGATAAAGACCATTTAAACTGAGTTACCTTAAATCCAACAAGTTGTCCAGCTAACCAGAAAATCTTGCTTTTTGATATGGGTCCTTGGTATTGCACTTCTGTGGCAGATGGATTGCATCCGACTCGTATTCAAGATGTTCAATAAACATGTTAGGTGCATATATATTCCCTTTTTTCTTGAGTTTGTTTGCTCATGCAAAATGAAATGTGATTAATATAGATTAAAAATGAATTATATTTAATCGTGATTAATCGAAATTAATTCACAGCAACCCTGTGATTATTCTGATTAAAAATTTTAATTGTTTGACAGAACTAGTATTTATATATCTATATATTTAATTGTGTGCAAAGACAAAAATGATCTCATCATATTTGAGTTCCCGTATAATGTAGTGAAAGTATAAGAGAGTTATATATCTTATCATATTAGTCAGTCAACCGCGTGTCTTGGCACAGCCTTGGTAATCTCCGGTGTGGGCTTTTATGTTTTAAAAAGACATTGGTCTGTGAAACAAAAGCTAGAATTGCTTTCTTTTGAAGTATGTTTGCAATTTTTGAATTTAGTCTAGGTAAAAAGAAAACAGTTGCATTTAAAAGATGTTTCTAATTTCACTAACAGGATCTCAAAATGAAATGATCCAACAGTTTCTGTTGCCATCACTCATTGAAAGCAGCATGAGACAGCACTGGTTTGAAGTTAGCCATTACACTGCAGTCAGCAGGACCACAGAACTGGAGCAGCATGAGACAGCACTGGTTTGAAGTTAGCCATTACACTGCAGTGAGCAGGACCGCAGAAATGGAGCAGATGTTGTTCATTGACATGTCACTCTCCCAGTTAATAGTTCTTCTAGATATCAAATCTAATACAGAAAATAAGGGATTTGTCATTATCTTTGAAGATTATTATAGTGTTCATATATTATCATCTACGGTGCTCATAGAAAGTCTTGTTTAATACACTTGGTACACTTGTTTAGTTCAGTAAAAAAAATGCAAACTTATTATTTTAATACAAAAATCATTACTTTAATAATTTGTGTGTGTGTGTATATATATATATATATATATATATATATATATATATATATATAAACCCTATAGATATAATAACATTAGAATCAACAAGTAGTTTTAAAGTAAAACATTCAACTATGAAACTGAAACCCAAATTACAGTTCTAAAGGCTTGTCTGACTTAATAAGTCCAATGACAAGCAGTCTCATTGGGTGCTTTTAAATTAGCGATACCTAACACCTTACAATAGCATAAAACACCAAACATTTATTTGTAGTATCCCTTTGGGAGCCAGTAACTACAATTGCAATTAGCAACAAAATGGCAAAAACAAAACTGAATGATTCCGTCAAAAAAATTGTGACACTTAATAAAAAGATAATGTTTGCGTGGCAGATATGTGCAGATATAGTATGTTAAACATTGCTCACTCGGTATAAATAAATTTGCAACATTATTACAGAATAAAGCAAGCGTCCCCAGACTTCCAGTGAGCGCTGTATTTCCCTGTATGCTTTTTGTATTTTCCAGCCATTGTAATCTGATAAATGCCACTTGACGTGACAAACAACTTACCAGATAGCGCTGCTCCATTATAGAAAGTGACCAAACGTTGGTGAAGTTTACTAGGTTAACTATTGGGGACTGTAGTTCCCTCCTGAGATAAGATGATTAACTGATAAAGTAAGTAGAACATTATTTCCCATGATGCACTACCTGATGAGGTGACTCTGGGATTAAGGGAATAATACAAAACTGATTAGTGCCTGTCAGGCTTTTGTAAAACGAGATACATCAGGCAAATCAGGACAACTGCATGGTTAATGATTTCTTACTGTAAGTACCCTACAATTCTTACTGCGAATAAGTTTTGCACAGTTAATTTATTTAGTTTTCCTTATAATTTTTGTACACGTAAGGTAATTCTGAGCAGCCATGTTTTCTAGCAGGATTAGGATTATGCAGCGGCTGCCAGGGAATAAAGGACAGAATGCCTGCATGTTTCAGGCTGAAAATGAAAGCAGCTAACAGCTAAATGCTCCTTCATTCTCACTCAGCATAATTATACGGAATCTGTCTTCCTTGTTTTACTGCCATAGATAGCAATTATTCGGTGAAAAGGAAAAAAAATGTCCTGTTTATAAAAACTGAGCTGCATTCACTATACTTCTATGTATGTTTGCTGATGAGCTGTTGATAAGGCCATTTCTGAGGTTAGTGCGCTGAAAGATAAACAGACAACAAACTGACTGCGTTTTAGTAGATGACAGTCCCTGAGCACATGGACAGGGTGTCTGTCTGAGATAGATTATCTACAAATAGCTGCATCCTTCCTGTGCTCAGCTGTGTCTCATAAGAGACTCTCTGCTTTGGGAGCTTTGGGTCTTCACAGAGAACATGAATTTACCCTCTATATCACTGTCTTCTCAAACTTAAATATTTTTGTTACATTGTTTAATATACATAAGTGAAGAATTGCCCATTTCAGGCATCTGTTACATACTGTTTGAAAGTATTTGTTTTAATGGCAATTATTCAGACACATTCAGACAAATATGCTGTCATTTCAGGTTTGAAATGCTGAAGTAGTATTAATTTGTGGAGAACATGACAGATAAGTGCCAGACTGTGGCGACAGCTGGAATTAGGCATGGCTGCTGTCTTTCCACAGGTACAAGCTGAAGAGAAGATGGTCGCTGATGTGCGGCTCACACCTCAGCATGTTCAACCTAATGAGCAGCTGCTGCAACTGGATCACAAAATTACAGCAACCTGTCAGGTGGGGGCGATCGTGTGACCCAGTGCTGAATAACAGAGGATTTCTCTTCTTCATTTTCAGCTATTCTGTACAATCCATTATGGACAGTCAGGAGGGTTACCACCCATGTCAGGACACTTTGAGCCAGGGTAGTATATGTAATCTACGTAATCTACCATTTCAATTAAAAGGACCTGGAATTCACTTAAGCACTGAGTTCTTGCTGCATGCTGATTGGTCAGTCTCCTACAATCATGCACGTGTCACTAATGTTAATGTGAAACAGCTGGAGTCTTTCAATCAAGGAACCAAACCAGTCAAAGCACAAGAAGAGCTGAACTATTTAGCCAAGTGCAGGACTCTCTCGGTTTTAAAAGAGCTTGGAAAACATAGCTAAGTGTTCTCACAGACAACCATTTGCTGGTAACCCTAATAGTCAGTATATACACAGCATTGTTGCTTCACATCTCCAGGGTTGGGGTTTGAATCCCATGTCTGCTTTGTTTGTGTGGAATTTCTATGTTCATCCAAAGTTGCACAATCCCCCTCTCCTATAGTCTGAAAGCCTACGGTTAGTTGAATTCGTGATCCTACATTACATTTAGTGTGTGAGTGTGTGCTGTGATGGTCTGGCATCCCATCCAGGGTGTCCCCTGCCTCGTACCCTGTGATGGACTGGCATCCCATCCAGGGTGTCCCCTGCCTCGTACCCTGTGATGGACTGGCATCACCTGTTGTCCTGTACTGGAAAAATGCCTGATATGTAGATGGAGCAAATGGATGGATGGATGGAAGGAAAAATATAACATCAAAAGCAAATTTGCTTCACTTCCATCCATCCATCCATTGTCCAACCCACTTATCCTACTGGGTTGCAGGGGGTCTGGAGCCAACCCTGGATGGGGGGCCAGCCCAGCACAGAGCACACTCACACACCATTCACACACATGCACACCTATGGTCAATTTAGCAACTCAGTAACTCAATTAGCCTCAGCATGTCTTTGGACTGTGGGGGGAAACCAGAGTACCTGGAGGAAACCCCACGACGACACGGGGAGAACATGCAAACTCTACACACATGTGACCCAGGTGGAGACTCGAACCCAGGTCCCAGAGGTGCGAGGCAACAGTGCTAACCACTGCACCACCATGCCGCCCCAATTTGCTTCACTTAATACTATAAAATGCAAACTTGTGGATTATACAAGATATGTGCTCCTTACCTCCCCAATATAAGCTGATTCTGTCATCTACAGGAAAGTCACAGTGCTAATGGTCGGCCTTGACAATGCTGGCAAAACCTCCACTATAAGAGGCATTTTGAAAGGTAAAAAAAACAAACATATACCTGTATTTTGGACATGTGACTGAGTGTTTATGTACTGGGATCATGTGACTGAGTGTTTATGTACTGGGGATAGCACTTCAGCCATGATGACTTAAGTATTTCTTACCTGGTCACCAGCACCTCCACGGGACCTGGGCCCCACCAGTGGATGCGTACGCACTGAGCTGAGAGTGGACAACTTTCTAGTGACCTTGCTGGATGTCGGAGGTGGTCGAGAGAGTCGTGGAGCCTGGAGGCAGCTCTGTGGAGAAGCCCATGGGATTATTTTTGTGGTCGATTCTAGCGATGGGCAGCGGGTTCCTGAAGCCAGGGGGCTTCTTACAGATGTGTTACAGCAGGCCAGGGTAGCAAGGAAACCCCTTTTGCTGTAAGGAATGAAAACAATAAACTGATATTATCAGGAATCAAGTCAACCAGACGCTGATATTTCATATGAATTATGCTAGAAAAGGATGTAAAATATCTCCTAGGTTCAGTATAATTCAATTTTGTTTTTTACTCCTTCAGTGGTTTTAGTGCCTTTTGATTCCCCAGATCCATAACTTCAATAAAATTAGCAAAATATGACAAATTTATAGAATAAATTCATCATACGATTGCTGACGTGTAATAGTTGTATTCAGTCTAAAAGAGTGAACAATGGTGTTTTTTTTCAGGCTGGCCAACAAGCAAGACAAGATGGACGCTCTCCTGGTCAGTGACCTAATGGAGGCCCTGTCACTGGAGAAACTGGTCAACCAGAGCCGATCGCCCTGTCACATTGTGAGAGTTGCACTGGTGGCTTATGCTTTATAGATAAAAGAACAGTGTAACAGAGTACTGGTCATTCTGGGAGGAGTGGGTGTGTAGCATTTATAATCATGTTTATGCTTAAGCATTTTTTAGTGAAGGCAGGACACACACTTATAAATATAAATAAGAAAGATGAATGATACTGGTCTCCATAATACATTATGAAGCTGTCACTAGAGTGTAATTTCTCACCCTGTACTACAGGAGCCCAGCTCCGCACTGGTGGACGTGCGCAGGTGGACCGACAGGAAGACCTTGAGAGGCCTGCGCTGGCTGCTGCGAGCCGTCAGCCTGGACTACACCGACCTGTGTGCCCGCATCGCCAGGGACAGCAAGCGTCCCGCGGAGCGAGAGGAGAGGGAGAAGCGAGCGGCAGCTGAGAAAGGGCCCCGCAGGAGCCCAGAGGAGCAGTGAGCGGCCCTGCCACTGACTCATCTACCCCATTTTGGTTCATGGGTTTCAGAATGTGGGCAGAAGTTGTGAAAAAGTGTGTATCTGTGCAGGACTAACACCAGCAAGAAACACCTGCAACACGGCGAGGACCTTACTGGCAAAGAGAAAAAAATGACAAAGAAAAGCACTGGTGGAAAACAGCATCCCATTCAGAACATCATGAAAGCGGTTATTCCATTTAAATTCCCTTTGAAGTGTTTTTAACAAAGTGATTCCTGAAATAAATGGTTATCGACATGAGCAGAACTTGGGGGGAATGACAGTTCAAAATCTGTAATAGTGGATATAACCAATTTGTGCATGTTTTCATGTTTTGTTACCCTGATACTTTTGTAGGAGAGAAGCCTGAAAAAGAATATGAAGGAAAATCAGGTAAAGATCAGAGATGCTGTGAACAGCAGAAGGGCAGCGAGGAGGAAATGGGGTGAGGAAGAAGAGGAGGAGGAGGTGAAGGGAAGGGCTGAGATCGGGCAGAGGGGTGACACAGAGGAGACATCAAGTGGTGCCCTGGTTCCGAAAATGCGTGGCAAGACAAAACGAAAAATGAAGATAGTGATGAAAGACACATTGGTGCTTCCTGAATCAGAAAAGAAGGAGGAGCCCCGTGCAAAGAAAGGTGGCATTCCAGTCCGACAAGATGCCGTCTGTCATATCTTCAGCAATTTCTGCAATTTTTCTTTAGTGTTCTCAGCATAATACTCTTCTGATTTCTGTTCATACAGGTGAGGTCAGAAGTAAAAAGAAGAAAAAGTCAGTAAATGTAAAGAAGAAAAACAAAATAAATTCGGAAGGTGTGTCTGCTGCATATTCACAGCCGGTTGACCTGTCTGCCACGTTCGGTAAGTTGCATTTTACAGGATATAACATGAAAGTCAAAATATTACATAAGAATAATTACATTTGTTCTAAATTAGGTAAAACTACATAATAATGCAGGTGTGACAGATGATTGTATTCATTATCTCACTGGACTTTCTTGTCTCTCTGTTAGACCTCTACAGGAAGGCTATATTAGCTCTGAAGGCCCACCCAGAGCAGAATAAAGGAGGCTCCTCCTGCTGAGCCCTCACTGCACTGCAGCCTGTGATTGTGCTGCATTAAGTAACACATAAACTCCTACCCCATGCTCTGCAGTTACACTGCACTCTCTTCTCCTCCCTCCTGCTGAGCCCTCAGTGCACTGTACCCTGTGATCCTGCTGCATTAAGTAACACATAAACTCCTACCCCATGCTCTGCAGTTACACTGCACTCTCTTCTCCTCCCTCCTGCTGAGCCCTCAGTGCACTGTACCCTGTGATCCTGCTGCATTAAGTGTGATTTTCTATGTGCACACAGCTGATGTGTTAACACCCCCACTCACTATTGCATTCTATTTAAACAGGTCTTCTTAAGTTGTTTTGATTACTTTAAATGTCAGTGCTGTTTACAGTGTGTGTTTATATATCTTAAGAACTATTCCCTCAGTGTAGAGGTTTCCAGAAGCAAGGTGTTTCATTTGTACATCAAAGTCATTCAGTCTTTGTTGTCTATTGGACAGAGGAAGGACATTAGCATCAAAGCACAGAACGTTCCTGTATGCAGAATGTGATCTCTTTACAACCAAGTACCTTTCATGTTACAGTACCGGTCAAATGTTTGGGAAAACCTGCTTTTTAATGAATCTGTTTCTAGTTTAGCCATGTTATTCATCTCATAGGCCGCGAGACAATGAAGTAATATATATCATTATAATATAAATGAAATATTACTGAGAGAAGTGTTCAACAACTCAAAATTTTAGACTCTTCAAAACAGCCCCCTTTTGCTTTGATGACAGCATTACAATCTCTGACATTCTCTCAACCAGCTTCCAGATGTAGCCACCTGGAATGCTTCTCCAATGGTCCTGAAGGAGTTTCCACAAGTTTTGGGCACAAATTGGCTACCTTACTCATCACAAAACAGCTCTATAGCATCTAGGTTGGGGGGGATTTTGGGGGCCAGGTCATTTGTCACAGCATTCCATCTATCTCCTTATTCACTAGATAATACTTACTACATTACCCTAAGATGTGTTTGGGGCATTATCTTGATAAATTAAATGATGGTCCAAGATAGGATACCGTGTTATTGCAAAATCCTGCCTTCAATTTTATATAAATCTCCAACAGCACCATCAGTGAAACAGTCCCACACCATTATATTACCTCACTGTCCCACACCATTACACTGCCTCACTGTCCCTCACCATTACACTGCCTCACAGTCCCACACCATTACACTGCCTCACAGTCCCACACCATTACACTGCCTCACTGTCCCACACCATTACACTACCTCACTGTGGGGCCAAACATGCTGTCATCCTCAGTTCACCTTTTCTGCATATCACAAAAACATAACGATTGGAGCCAAAAATTTTCAAAGCAGATTTCCATTGTTCTAATATCTGTATTTTTTTGCCCACCCCAATCTTTTCTTCTTATCTACATCCTTCAGAAGTAGTTTGTTTGCAGCAATTCCGGCATAATGGTGTAGAACACTGAGGATAAAGACCAGATTCATGTAATGAGCAGTTAGGATAGTTTGGATAGTTTGATGGTTTTGCCCACTGCAGCTGAAGACACTGCCAGGCATTTTATTAATTCATTGACCATCATTTCTTAAAATAATTATGGATGGACATTTTTCTTTGTTAAGCTTTTCTTGTCATATTATTGATTATTAAAACAAGAAAGCTATTTTACAAACAGGGCCATTGGTATTCACTGTACCTAATCACAACAAAAATGATTATTTCCAGTGTTTAGATCATGAAAGATGGTATTCAGTATAATATATAGTAATTATGGGACCTGTAATTATCTAGCACTTTCTTTGCTTGCTAAGATTTTGTACCTATAATACATTTCAAGATACATGTGAAATGTTGGCTTGAACAAACTTTTTTCAATAAAAATATTTGTTTTGGAAAAACAGTTTGCATGGACATGAAATTGATTATATTCATGCAAAAGTCTGTTAAGTTAAACGGCTGTACGACAGATATGTGTGTGTGTGTGTGTGTGTGTATATATATATATATATATATTATTATGCAAAGGAAAAAAGAACGTCTCCATAGTGACTGCTTATTGAGTTATCTGTCATTTTCACTTTCTTCTTTCTTTTTTTAACAAAAATGTTTTCTGTATAAATGACATCCAGGTGGTGTAACTTATAGAATTTCATAATTAAAAAAATTTGTTCCACATAATTTTGAACACTCTTTAAAAAGTATAATCATTTATAATAATCTAACTATAAAATGAATATAGAAATGCAATTATACTGATTGAATGGATTATATACAGTATATAGTTTTCTCTAATGCGCTTGTTACGCTGGTTGCTAATATATATATATATATATCCTTCCATCCATCCTATCTATACCGCTTCATCCATCTGGGTCGCGGGGAAGCCATATATATATAAAGAAAAACTCAAATATATATAAAGAAAACTCAAATCCATCCATGTTCCAATATTCAGCACGTGGTCGCGAGGACACCGCTATCAATACGGAATAACGTTGCATTGCTATGCTAATGCCGCCACCTATTGGTGAAACTTGTGCTACTACAGAGACGCCAAGACCGTTTAGATGCGGTAATTTATCCAAGATACAAACAGGGGGGTATTCCACGAAACAGGATTAAGGGAAAGTCTCGCTTATTTCGATAAGTCTGTCTTATATAAGTGAGAATTCCGTTCCATCAACGTGTCTTAAATGAATCCCCGCTGAATTACCATGGTAATTTATACCTACGAACAAGTCTGCTCCGGACCAGGTTAACTGTCTCGCTTGATTAAGCGTTGTCTCAAAGAACGATTACATCTTTGTATTTTTCATACAACTCCATCAGCAGCGTTTGTTCCGTGGAAGGAAAGAAACACCGCTCTCGTTTTACCGGCTTTCCGACTCATTTGGTCGATCTATCGTTCATCCATTTATTTGGGCTTCTTAAATGTCGCGGGTGTGCGCACTAAGTGAGACTATGCAAGTCTGTCTTGAATGATCCTTAATTAGTTCAAACTGAACTGCGTTCGTGGAACGACATGAGGCAAATTTTAGAGATGGAGCTAAGTTGAATCTGACTTTTTCGGAAAAGTCTGCCTTTCTTTAGCTACTTTCATGGAATACCCCCCAGGCCTTAGTAGTAAGGAATTAAAAATAAAACAATGATACAAAAACAATAATGTGTATAACGGCTAAAGAAAAGAATAAAGAAAGAATAATAATTCAATGGATGGATCTTTTAACAATGTCAGTCAGTGACACCTGGCGTCACTCACTAACACCGTGTCTGCCATGGTTATCTGTCAGTAATAAGACGAATTGGCTTTACATTTTAATCGATTAGAATAAAAGGAAAAGTGGGCCTAATAAAATCAGTCATAGTTATATTGTGCAAATGCACCACTTTTGACGAATGTAATCCTGAAAGACGGATGTTTCAAAATACCTCGTTATAAATTTGTTAACAATGCAGTTGTATTGATAATCATTTGTTATTTAGTGGTTATTTAGTATTGCATATTACACACAGCTTTAATGTTAGATATTACAGAATTTAAAGAACTCTGACATGTCGGGGTTGTGTAATCTTCAAATCAAGTCCATTTAATCATTAATCGACTGCACATGTACAAGGAAACTGTCTAGATGCTTCCAGTAGGTGGCAGCAGAGACTTTCACAGGGCAGAGGTCAGCCAAGAAACAGTAGAAGAATAGTACTGTAGCTGTAGTTTTGCCCGCTTTCGATTTGCATTTACACACACACACACACACACACACACACACACACAGATATATATATATATATATATATATATATATATATATATATATATATAGTGGACCATTGATTTATTGACTTATGAACTCAATTCGTTCGCAAGAGCTGGTCGTAACTCAAGTTGGATGAACCTCCCAAAGCACCCCTTACCTAACCTTTTCATAATAAAAAGGAGTTGTATAATATGTGTAATTTACCAGAAACGCCCATAATTTTCCTAGTGTATTCATCAAAGCGTTATAAAATGTGCCTAGCCTAGCACAAACACCAATTTCATACTGTGCTCATGCTTTCGCAGTGGTGTATGTCATTTTCGGCAGCCCTTGTTTCAGCACTGGCTGCTTCACCATGCCTAGCTACGCCACAAAGCCCAGTTCTCGCTTTCAAATTGTGAAACCACCTCTTACTGTGCCGAAATGTTTCACCATTGTCACTCGTTGATGGCTTATCCTTTATGAGATCTGCATTCATAGCCCTAGATATTACAGACTCACCTGCCATCTGTCTTTCGTTTATCCACACTAATAATAGCCTTTATGCCTCATCTAAATTTGTTGATCATGACTTAGTAATTTGAGTAACACTTTTAGCAACACTAGCTTCCTTACACAAATCTTTTCTTTGTCTTCTCTTCCTTCCTTAACTTCTTTTCCAGCTTTTTGGGGCCATTTTGATGGCAAGTAGATAAAATAAATTAATCATAATAATCAATACTTTATTAATCCACATGGGGAAATTGATTTGGCATCCACATGTGGATACCAAAGTATCAGTGGCTCCACTGGGGCTCGAACCCAGGACCTTCTGCGTGTAAAGCAGACGTGATAACCACTACACTATGAAACCACTTCCATTAAACATATAGTGCACTGCACTGACCAAAGTTAGGTCCACGAACAGGCGTCCCTGGGCTCAGACTGACGCTTACGGACGCCTCTCGGGCATCTCGGCTCTTTGTTCACAACCGCACAAGCGGATTCATGTTTTGGCCTCGACTGGCATCCGGGTCATAACTCAAGACTTTGGTCGTAAGTCAAAAATAAAATTTTGGTCATAACCCAAATTGTTCGCATGTCAGGCTGGTTGTAACTTGAGGATCCACTGTGTATATAAACACATTTCTACTGGCACTTAAGTTATTTTACTTGCACGTTTATTTTATTTAGCAAAGACTTTCGTCCAAAGCCACATAGAGAGCCAGACAGTACAGAACATTACAAGCAAGCAGCTGAAAGGCAGGCAACTTGACATAAGTGCACTAGGCTGAGCTTACATTGAATGCCAGAGTACAAGTGTAAGTAACATCAGACCAAGAGCTATCAAGAGCTTTCAAACATAGCAAGAACCTTATTTAACCACTATTCAGATCAAAAGGGAAAAAAATCAACCCTAAGAGTGTTGGATTGTTGACTGAATGGGCAAGACAGAATGCAGATCTTGATGAGCATCTTGACTGAGATGGGGACTACTACAAGGACTCAATCGAGCACTTATAGGGAGTCAATGAAGAGAGACAGCGAGAGCTGACTGAATAGCAGACATGTTTCTGCATTTTGAGTCATTGGCAGCCATGAGACAGAAGAAGCTGCTAGCCTGGCCAGTAAGGAGTTACAGTGGTCTAGCGGTGAGATTACAGATCCCTGTATTAGAAGCTGAGTAGCTTATCCTGACAAATATGGCATTTTCCTGATTTTATAAATCTACAAGATCACCGATTGCCACTACGCGGTCAAAAATGGATAGCTGGTCATCAATCATTACCCCAAAGTTCTTGGCAGATCTTGATGGAGACAATGTCAATAATCCAAGCTGTACATCAATATCATTACGGATAGTAGGGCCAGCAAGGAAAACAAGAGGCTTGTTCTTACAGAGATTCAGCTGTAGGTTAAGATTCCTCGTGTAGGCTGCAATGTTTGCAAAGAAGGGTAAATATTGATCATAACCAGCCAATACCTTCACCAAACCCAAAGGAAGGTGTATAATATACATCAAGAATGTACATTCTTCAAGAAAAAAATCACTTTGAGATCACGAAGAGATATTTATGTTCTGTTACAAGAAACTGAAAATATATAAAAAGTACCTTTTAAACTCAGGGGCACCACTCTCCAGATGCATTACAACTATAGCAAATGTAACAACTATGAAATGAAGATATCTGGGTTGAATTGTCCTACAAAGGTATCCTCAAACTACAGTATTAGTTTTCTTTCGGGAAGCATTGGGGATAAATCTTGACTTCTCAACTGACCAAACATAAAGGGTAGAAGTCTTAGATAGACCAACTCGGATAGACTTTTGGTTTTATGTCATATCAAGCCTTCTTTGTTTTTGTCTTTTTTCCTGAGGTATTTATCTGTTTGTCTGTTTGCTTGTCTATTTATGAATTTATTTGTTATTCTTTTTTCCCTTAATTATTTCTAGAAGAGATACGTTTAAAATTTGAATAATTTGAGTTGGAATGTTAACTCAGCATTCTTTTTTTTAATATTTCGAAAATATTATGTGTTAATTGAGTCAGCTGTCTACACTTAATGGATTTTGTGTATGTTAATATTCAATAAAACTTATTACTTAATTCCATATGTGACTTAAATATTAAACCGTACGACTATTAAGAAATACGTATTTGGTGCCTTTTCGGTGTATATTTAACGAGTGGTACATTATTCTGGATTTTGTAGTATATATCATAACATAGATTTGACATATTCGTTTTCTGTTTTATGAGTAGCCCTTCCTGCGCATTTACCGATAACGGGCGTTTGGACCCAGCGGCACAGGTCTTGCTTGCCCACTTTCGCTGTAAAACCGCTCCTGTCTCCGCTCGGGCTTTTCTGCTGCCACTCGGGACCCCGGTTGTGTAGATAGTGGAGGCAAAGATCATGGCTTCTCCGAGGACAATAACGATTGTTGCCCTTTCCTTCGCTCTTGGCCTTTTTTTCGTTTTTATGGGCACTATTAAGCTTACGCCGAGATTAAGCAAAGACGCCTATAGCGAAATGGTAAGTGAAGCATATTATTGTAATGCAGCACTATTGCATATGGATGAGGAAGGATCTGTCCTACAGATGCTGAAGGTTTTTGCATCTACACACTCAGGATGGCTCCGATTATTCAGAGAAGGGAGCCTAGAATAAAATGGAAAGCTGTTACATAATTATATTATAAAATCCCTTAAAAATAACGTACAACATTGTCAATAATCAGCCTTTTCCCGTGGTTATGTTTCGTGTCCGTTCCTGATACTTTTCGCTGCATAGCTTACCCCTGCCGAAAGGAGTAGCAAATATATGATGCATTTTAATTTGTTAATCTTTACAGTAAAATGTGCCAGTTTTCTTTATGTAATAAACGAGATAGGAATGAGCTAATTCTCATTTCATTTTCTGTTCCTCCATGAGTTTTGGTAGTGAAATTACAGAATACAATTAAAAAATGCGCAGCATGTGGGACTTAAAGAAGCGACCCAGAGACGCGGCTGTGCGCATCTTCGGCGATCGCTTGTTTTCTGGCAAATTCTGCGCCGGTGCTGATGCTGAAGCCGCATCTCGTATCGCATTTACGGCTAATAATAGGGGAGACAATGGGGGGAAAAGCGCGAATAGCAGCAATAATATGTAGTTTATCAATGCATATAAACGAAATGCTGGAAATAAAATAAACCTGGAGAACGCACCGCCCCGTCTGCCTCTTCCGCTTCTCCCTGTCTGTCGTTAGAAACGGGCAGCCGGTACGGTTTTTCCCACTTCTCACATTTCTTCAGATTAACTCTGTGATTGCTCTACCAAGCACCAGAGGGCTTGTATCACTACTGTCCATCTCTAATATTAGAATAAATAGCAACACTACAACAGGATACTGAGTTTTCATAATTATATTGGAGAAAAGATAGATCCTAATTGGGGTGAATGACACGACATACATGGTTTATGTCCCGAGTCCATTATTATTATTATTTCAATTTTTAAAAAATAAATACATAGCATGAGTAATATTATTACATGAAACCGCTCTAATAGGCTACACATTCAAATAAGCCTAACATACCATTTTGACATTTATGTATCTCAAAGTCCAAATATGTCAGGTAGTGCAACCATTGAAACAAATGATCAGTGCAAGAAAGCTATTCAAATCAGTACATAATAATAATAATAATAATAATAATAATAATAATGATGATAATGATGATGATGATGATTCTGTTCGAAAACTTTAAGCCCATAGAAAGTTGCAAAACACTATGGTTTTCAAACCATTGAAACAAATGATAAATGTTTGTCTGCAAATCTGCATTAGGGTCTGTGTCAAATACCAGGACGCACCTGGCAGGGAAAAGGGGCCTTTTATGTTAAAGCCATTTTAGAAAACAGTGGACAAGATGGTTAATCATAAAGAAGATCCTGAGTGGCCTTCGTGGTGCAGAGAAAAGGTTAGAGGATTTAAATATAAAAAAAGTACAGGAAAAACCACCCCATGATACAGTTTCCATGTCAGGTGGTACAACCCATGGAAAACCATGAAAACACTGCAATATGGTAAAACTCAATTTGTTTTTAAAATTGTATGTACAAATGTGATGTGAAGGACAAACGTCTGTACAGGTGTACAATCAGATGAAGCCTTTTCAGTTAACAAAAAATATTCAGGTGGAACTGTAATAAATATCAATAATCATAAATGACAATCATCATACATCAGTTAATGTCTGATGCATTGCAGACATGGCTGCTGCATGAAGATTCTGATTTGGAAAAAAAATGTTGCAAAATTTAGCTATTTTTTCAGGTAGTAAAAACCTTATTTGTCATTTGTCCATTGGCATATTTCCAGCTATCTTAATTGTGAGCAAACAACAAAAGACAAATCCATGAAAAAATCTATATTGTTTCTAAAGCGGTAATTGCCCTAACGCTTAGTAGACAGGGAAATTAAAGTAAATTGACAGTGATTTTCAAAGCAAAAAAAATGGCTGAGAAGATCATGCATTTACAAGCCTGAGAATGTTGTAGATGCATTCAGCTTTTTCCAAATGAAGGCTAGTATTGTTCTGTTTGCTTAATTATAACATATCAGCAGTGTGCAGCTTGATTCACAGCAGTCTTATATGTCTACAATTAGCATTTTCACTGCATTTATTTTGGCATGATTTCATGTCATGCCCACAGCAGGAGATGTCAAAGTCGTTTCTCTGTAAGCTGTGATTCCTCTGCTTTCTCACTGTTTCTAGTTGTTAATACTTCACTGTAGAACTCATAGCACTGACCAGTATGGGTATTTCACAGCACTGCTCACTCATAAGACTTTTAATTCATGAGAATTAATATTGTAATACTTATTTGATGTGTTTTTCTGAAATTCCAGCTTTTAGGTGATTGACACCAATACATATTTGAATTCTGGTTTTGCCATTCCATGTCATTTAACAATGATGATGACGTGTTACACAAAACACTGGCACTGAGCACTGAGAACAAGTGTAGCCCTTGCTGGCTGTAAATGCTTTAGGTTGCTGTGAGTATTACAGTACAAGCTTTACTGTTCAACCTTACCTGAACTCTCCACTGATAATCATTCGGTAATGCATGCAGAATCACCTTGACAGGCATCATCTGCTAGTGTCCTGTGCCTGCTAACTAGCTAAGCTAAAGCCTCAGGTCTTCCTCCATCTTCTGCACACTGGTCGCTCCTACATCCCTGCCAGATCTCAGCTCTCTGCGGTGGCTGGTCAAGCAGAAGTCGAAGGGATGACATACCTACTCTTACTTCCTTGCACTGGCCTCCTAGCTGTAGCTTTGAAAATTGATTTTAAAGTTCTCTTTAAACGAGGTCTTGCTCCATCCTTCCTCAGTGACATGATTGTAAGGTACAGTATGTCCCAGGCAGATCACTCAGATCACCCGGGAGTAATTTACTGATTATTCCTAAAACCTGGCTAAGGAAGGAGGAGGCAGCATTTAGTCACTCTGGTCCCAAACTTCTGCTCTCCCAAAAAGCCTGCAAGCTACTGAATATCGAAAAACTAGGCTGAAAACATATATTTTCACCATTGCAAATAATACCCTATGATAATCAGTCATTTTATTCCTGCATTTATTTTATTTCCTTTGTGCTTATTTTTAATTTCTTGTGTTTCTTTCTTCTTTTTAAAGCACTTTGTAAACCTTGTGGTTGATTAATTAATTCCACCAGTGTAACTTCTACAATGTCCGATTTACCATGGTCCAGTTTGGAGGAGAAAAACCCAAATACCTGCCAGCTGTTGACTCAACACCAGATTGTACCTCATCCGCCAAAATAATTTGCTGTTATATTAAATTCTGATGGTTTCAGAGATGATTCTATCAGTTTTGTTGCGCCTGTGTCAGATGTCAATATGGTGACTGAATTAAACTTTTACACTCTGGCCATGTAATCCTCTCCTGATAAGAGCATCTGGTAAATAAATGAAAGACACATGTAAAATTTATGGGAGAAGGCTGTAGTGCTGGAAATAGCATTCTGGTTAAGCCAGAAAAATGTCACCTATTTTTTTTGTTATGATGTATACCCTGTTTCCTCCCACAGTCCAAAGACATGCAGATTAGGTCAACTGGCTACTCTAAATTGCCCGTAGGTGTGCATGTGAGTGTGTGTGGCTGTTTGTCTGTGTTGGCCCTGTGGTGGACTGGCGGCCTGCCCGGGGTGTATCCTGCCTCTCGCTCGATGATGCTGGGATTGGCTCCAGCTTCCCCGCGACCCAGATGGATAAAGCGGTAGAGATAATGGATGGATGGATGTTTACCCTCATGCCAAGATAGATAACCATAATTCTTAATATAAATTAACTGCAGTTCACTTAGGGAACAAATAATTTTGGGAAAAATGGACCACAGTCGGTATGATATTTTTCTTTTAGGAAAAAAATGAGGATGAATGAACAAAAAAAAACAAAACAAACAAATGTCAAGTATACCTTAATAGGATTATAGAAGCAACATTTTAAAATGGTTTTGTAGTATGTATCACTTTATGCATAATTATGGTTTTGGAGTTTACCTGGCCCTCTTTTTCTGGTTCTGTTGTAATATATTTGCAGTTTGCCTAGCCCAGGTTTGCTTGTGTTGATGTAGTATATTTGGACTTTGCCTGGCCCCCCTTTGCTTGCATTGGTGTAATATATATGTTTGTCTGACCCTGTTCTGCATGCTCTGGTGTAGTATATTTGAAGTTCGCCTAGCCCCCTTTTGCTTGCATTGGTGTAGTATATTTGCAGTTTGCCTAGCCCTTTGGCCTGTGCTACGAAGCGGGGTTACTGGCTTATCGGGGTAACTTGTCAGATTTAAGGTAGTCTCAGTTTAAATAGACTTCATATTCATTCACTTATATTTTTCCAAGACTACCTTAAATCTGACAAGTTACCCCGATAAGCCAGTAACCCCGCTTCGTAGCACAGGCCAAAGGGCTAGGCAAACTGCAAATATACTACACCAATGCAAGCAAAAGGGGGCTAGGCGAACTTCAAATATACTACACCAGAGCAAGCAAAACAGGGCCAGGCAAAC